TGCTGTATGGAAATCCTGATATGCCAGATCAATATAACTTAAATATGTTTGACTCTGTCCAAAAATTTATTTGTAAGTCGAAACGATTTTAGTGCAAGACTTATTTATTTTATTTTATATTTATGTAATTATTGCGTTTGTTTAAACAATGTACATTGACTTTGAAACCTATGTTGTTCGACAAAACTTGTGACATGCCAGTATGATATTTAGACTTAATGAGTTTTGTTGATACTGAATTAATATAGACTACAACACTCTTGCATTTTGAAGGATATCAGTATACTTTTTTTATTGGAATCAACGTAAAGCAATTTAGAGATGTCCAATGTATTTAATGCATCCTTATATAGAGCTCATTAGGCTTACCTTTTCATGAATCACATTCCAACCAGATTCAACTAAGTAATGCAGTTCTTCTCGTTATTCTCTTCATAACCACTTTCTTTCATTTCCTGATGCACCCCTTCCACCCTCCCCCTGATTTCTTCTTCTTTTCTTTGTCTGTTACGTTATCCTATCAAAATATATGTAACAGTGCCGTCCCACTGCCGGGTTTATTAATAAGGAGCCGAGTTAATATAAGTACTTATGTACTTGTTTTCGGATCCTCTTTGTTGATTTTGTAATATTTTGTCACTGCCATATACTGAATAAAATACTGTTTAAACTAAAATTAGAGGTATTGATTAATAATTTACAAGACTTTTATTTTACCTTTTTTTTGGAGGCTGTATCTTTTTTCATGATTGCACTTTTAAAACATGTTTAGATATGAATTATTAAAGAATTGGTTTTCCCCTTTGAATGCCATATTAACCTCAAGAAACATGAGTATAGGAAAAAGTTGCTCAAATCTCTTCTTTTGAGTGTGTGCTCCAGCTCCTTGCATTATTGCACCTTTTATACCTTTACAGACAAATTTTCAAAAATAATTTGACCAATTTAACAAATGAAATTTTCTGATAGTGAAACGTTGGGGAAAGCTTTACTCTTATTTGTTAGACTTGAGCGGACAGGTTCTCCTTCTGCAATATTCTTAAAATTGGTGTGTATGTTAACTTGCTTAATTCACTGGATTGCATAAAGAATAAAAATATGGATATTATCCCCTCCCAATAATACCTCTGTTTTTAATGCAACGAGACAAGACAACTAACGTAACAAAACACATATTTCTTGCCAAACTTAGACAAGGGATTCGGCACAAGTTATAACAACTTATCAACGCCTTCTCCCAATGTACATTTCAAATGACATTACAATAATGACAATAAATATATACAATTGTTGTTACAATTTGAACTCAAAATCTCTTGCTGGATTTAATAAAGTTTTGCACAGATCTAAAAACGTTTGAGTTAAGTTCCACGGAAAATTGTGAATTGCCAAACAAAAGAATTTCTAAATTTAACGCAACATTCAAATTAATTAAATTTTGAACCAAAATACGTCTTTCGTTTGTAAAAAGGTGACATTCCTTAAAATAGTGAAGGCATTCTCACAAGGTTGACCACAACTACAAGATGCACTCTCGACAAGGTCAACTCTAAAAAGGTCATAATTAAGGGAACTGCACTGGTGTCGGAGCTTAGTATGCAAATTATTAGGTTTACGATTTCCGATTTTAAAGTAAATAGGTGGACTTGACTGAATATTTGATGTTAAACAGGATTTAAATGAATTAATAGAGGGTAGGGATCGAACCGAATTTTCTAAGTTATTCCAATAGTGAAAAGTAGCAGGTAGAAAAGAAGAGCTAATAAGAGATAATCTGAAATGAGGAATCATATAGTTCTTATTGTTACGTAAAGCGTAACGATTATTTTCTCCACATAAAGGCGGCAAAAGATGATTGAAGTAATCAGGAGTTAATTTACGCAAAGATGGAATACAGAACAAGGAAACTCTGGTTGTTATCATTTTGAGAAAATTATTTTGTATATAAACGTGGGTTCAATATCCAGGTATTTACAAATGGCGAAATACCTGTTTTTCGTCATGCGTCCGGTTATTTTACAGGACGGACGACCATCTCAACAGGAACAAATTTATTTCTGTTTACTCTAATCGAAGGTTCATAACAAACTTAACTGTATCACTATGACAATAATAAACTATGGTCAATTTAAAAGGAAAAGTGATGACCTCAGCAATGGTATTAAGAAATTTAATTCAGGATAAGGAACCTAAAATTTGTAACACCTGTAACATAGGTAGTAGAACACAGTGATTGGTGTATTATGCTGCAATAAAGTGTAGAATATAGTGAGAGAGAAAAAAATCTCTGAACAAACCGACTGTACACTTTTATTTGAAAAAACGACCCCGCGTTTGGGCAAGACCTATCTATATGTGATGACCTATCTATATGTGATGACCTATCTATATGTGATTACCTATCTATATGTGATTACCTATCTATATATGATGACCTATCTATATGTGATGACCTATGACCTATCTATATGTGATGACCTATCTATATGTGATGACCTATCTATATGTGATGACCTATCTATATGTGATGATTCTTGTTTGTGTTTACCTTACACACTGTTGTATCGTCGAATTTTACATCGTTCAATTTATAAAAATATTTAATGTTCTCAAAGAAGGTTCATGTTATCACTGCTATGTAAAATCTGAAAGTTCTTACTCAGAATTTCGCTGGCATACTACCAGCTTAGTCACACTAGTGTACCGGGGGTTACTTCCCCTCGATCACCAGAGTGGTAAACAAGGTACCGTTAACCTGGCTGTGCCGGTAGACCCCTCTGTTCCTAATGGGCACCTGTGGGTACTCCCAATGCACTTACATCAGGATTGACCAGGCTGGTAGTATGTCAGTAAAATATTTATGGGCGAGAACTTTCAGTTTCTGCATAACAGTGATCAGAATAGCCTTATATACATATATATTCATACTTTCTGCTAAATGAACGTATTCAGTGACACATTTATTGTTGGTGTTTTCCTTTAAAGAAATAAACAGATGTATGAGTGACAAAAAACGTATACATCAGATTCAAAACTTCAGGCCCTGAAAAGGCATGGGGTCACTTACCTGACTATGTGGGTTCTCATATTAAATTTAAAACAGAAATACCTTTAAATGTATTAGTTATCTTTAAATAAGACAGCAATATCTTAAAAGGTAATACATTTTTAAATGCAATAGAGAAATTTTTAAATGTAATAGATATCTTAAATGTAATACTTATATTTAAAAGAAACAAAAATCTCTTAAAATGTAACATTTATATATATATATATATATCTTTTAATGGAACATGAATGTCTTTAAATGCTTTTTTTTTTTTTTTTTTTACATATTTTGTTGTAATTTATATACAATAGGAGTTTTGAATGCAAAAGATAAATAACTGATCTATCACGCTTTGAAGTGGCTTTAACCGCGTGACACACGTGTGATATGCCGGGATAAAAACCAGGAAGTTTNCCCCCCTGTATATTTCTATCCCATTATTTAACTTAGGTTTTTGAGCTGTATATTTTGTTATACATTTCACTGATTGAAGAGCAATATATTATATTGTGAATTAAGTTCCTTGTTATACTGCTTTTACGTGTCTCGTAAGTCAATACTAGCTGGATTTTTTTTACCTGACTTTCTTTTTAAAATGTTCATACAACGTATGCATAGATAATTATACAACGGACTTAATCTAATTTCGTGATTATACGCAACACTCCAATGAAATATTTTATAGATATTGATTGGTTTATTGATAACGCTTCGAAGTGACCTTTGACTTCGTGACGTCACAATTGTGATAGTTTATGACACTACCGTAAAGATAGAATACAGAACAAGGAAACTCTGGTTGTTATCATTAAGACAAAGTGTACAGAAATCTTACTTCACTATTTAAATATTTGATTAGACTGGATGTTAGTTTGTACGCGTTATTGACATATTTTCTTGTGAATGATGTGTTTTCACTTTTTCTAATATCTTCAATTTGCACATTTTCTGTATTATATAGATTAAGTAAATAACCCACATGTTTTTTTATTGTAATATCAAAAGCGTATATATACGGGTATATACGTATACGTCTTTCGTATTATTATATTCTGTATGATCAATTAGCGGTCACCTGTTTTTCAATTAGGTGACATCGGTTTTAAAATAATTTAGTTATCGGTTGCTTTATATTTATATTAATTTGTAATGATCAATATTCATTAATTATATCATAATGTTATCTATTTATGAAATATACATGTGCATGTAGATGATGGATTATTTATGGTATTGTGTGAGAGTAACCAAAGGGTTTGTCTTATTTTTAAGATCGTATACCTGTGGACCTGTGTCATGCACGGGTACGCCAGGGCCTCACTCAGGTTTCTGTTTCATATGGCTGAGAATTAGTGCTAGATTTATATATTTGAAATGTCATATAACTGTACATTAACGTTAAATATACCTTGATGTGTGAACTGTGCCATTTTCATTATTTCTTTTAAGAGTTATTCCCCTTAGTGTATAGTTTTATTTATGTATGGTTATCTTTGTATTAATGTTTTTTTTATTTATTTGTTAAGTTGTCATCTCATCTGTTTCATCACCTTATATCCAAAATCGAACTATTTCCGTCGCCTTAAATTTTGTTTACTAGAATATCACCACTTAACAAATGTGGTTTTAAAATATGAAACTGTTTATAGCTTTGCAAGATGTAACACGACTTTGAGATATTCTAAAATGTATTAAAAGATAAAATTTATCAGGCTAGCTTGATATCAATCTGGAATTTAATCAGATGCTATGAAATACAACGGTACCATGCTAAAATGTCAATATATATCGCTTGTGTGTACTTGGGATTGTTATCGTTAAAGGGCCCACTCGACTGGTACGTATGTGCATTTGACACTATATTGCGACCTCGGACTAATTTAAATATTACACCTGTAACTTAAAATAGAACATGCTATCATATTCCCGGAAGGTGAATGTATTTGGAAATTCCGAGAAGTGTCGCCGCCATATTGACATACCCGAAATAGGTGTACAAAGCGCTGGACGAGATGGCGGCCCAGACACCAGTGCCTGGTTGTCCTCGACATCCAGGGATGGGGTTTGTTTATGTCTGTAAATCGTGCGAAGACCAGTTACTTTGTATGGAGTGTGTTACAGACAGTCACAACGGTCATACGCTGGATAAACTTACTGACTACGTGGCGGGTCAGAAACAGGAAATACAGCAGTTTGCCGACAAGCTCTCCAAAACCGATATTCCCAATACCGAGGGAGATATAAAAGAATGCGGACAGCAGACCAAGACACACGGTGGGCGATATCAAAAGATGATTGAGGATATCAAACGTCAGGGAAAACAGATGAAAGACGACATCGACAGTGGTATAGACTTGCTAGTTAGGATGTGTACCGAGCTAGAGGAACGCAATGCGTGTATTTCCGAGAAGAACAAATCTACTTTAACTAAATACCTTAGGGAGGACTTGAAGCCAAACCTGGAAAGATGCCAAGAGGTACTGACATCCGGTACAACTGTTGACGTCACTACATTAGCGCGGGAGATTAGAAACGGTGTCTCCACTGGCCCACCATCTCTCAGTGATTTGCAGAATGTAGAATACAAACCCGGGACAATCTCAACGGAACTCTTAGAACGCATGCTTGGTAAGCTATTAGTCGATGGAGTAGATGAGTCGTACAAACCGATTCCGAAATGTGAGCTTCTGTACGAGTTTCAGACGTCATTTGTTTACTCTAATTGTAATACATGTCTTAATGGTGACGAAGCATGGTTATCGCACTGGACGGATTATACCATACATCGAGTGGATGTGAAAGGCAAAGTCAATGAGGAGATAGATTGTCAGGTCAAAGTCCAATCGATGTCCGTATCTCCAACCACGGGGAGGGTGTGGCTCTGTGTGGTGGATGACAGAAGTATCCGAGAAATCACGACGGGTGGTGACATTGTTACACGCTTTAACGTAGAAAACACACCAGGTTCTTTGTGTATCACTAGTGACGACATGGTAGTGGTGGGGATGAAGGGAGGAATACAACTGTACACTACAGACGGACGGGCGGTGTCGGCAGGAATGGGTGGTCCGTGTAGACAGGCAGCAGTAGTTCCTCATCACATGACGTCATGTACACTGACCGGGGATGTAGCTGCTGTTGATAATGATGGTGTATCGTTTGATGACTACATGGCTGGTAAGAACCCAGGCAAGCAACCGTCCGTCATCGTAATGGATAAACACCTAAACCTGAAGTTTTGCTGTAAAGACATCGGTACGAGGAAAACACACGGAAGTGACATTCAGTCATCAAAGTTTCACCCGCACGATGTTTGTTTTGATGGAGCTGGTGATGTCCTTGTAATGGATTATGTCACCAAGTCAGTACTACTGATTGACAGGAATACCGGACACTATATGAGGACTGTTTATACATCTGATAGAAGTAAACCTATGTGTATCTGTCTGCGTGATGATGGCACCCTCTGGGTCGGACACGGAAACAAATCAACAAAGGTCATCAAATATAAATAGACGTGTGAGGACAAATATATCACTACATACAGATAAACTCACTCCATTTCCTTAAGTTACCATAATGAAAATTAACAGTAGGTTTATCTTCAGCCACCACCATCGTAAGAAATGTGATTACCTCGACAGTCGTATTAAAAGACATCATAGTCAGGATTAGGAACATTTGACAAATTTAGAAAAAAAAAGTGATTTGGTGTTTTTTTTGTGACAAGGGTATGTTTCGAATAATTCCGAAAAAAACACAAGGACATGTCATATGCAACATAACGGTAGATAAAAAAACAACATTTTTTTCATTTTATTTTCATAAAAGTTCCGTAACGTATGATTTTCGTCTGAAAATGATTTATCAAAGCTAAAGTCATGACAGAAAAATGTTTCAAATACATTAATATAGTTTTCGGCAGTTGTACGGGGATCCCTATATATTTAGATTTATATTCTTAAAGTTATCTGATTCCACTGGACAATTTAGAATCCTTATTTATTTAGATTCTTATCTGTAAGTTATCTGATTCCACTGTATTCTGTTTCAACAGTAAAACATTTAACTACTGTTTTATTCTTTTTACAAAATAATTTAATGCAATAGTTTTGATCTTAATGTCACATGTAACGCGAAGTTTATTTTTTTTAACACAAACGTAGCTTGAAAACTTATTTCACAAAAATGAATAAATCAAACTAGAAATAAAAATGTAAAAAGGTGTACAAATGTTGAAATACATCAACAGAGTACGAGTTGTTTTAAAACATATCAATATTCATATATTTATTGCACACAAACTGATTCTGTGACGCATTTGTTTGAAATCAGTGCAGTCAATCATCAAATATTTGACTGTAAATGGCTGATCAAATGTATGTCAATAAGGTTGGTCTTTACGTAAATGTGTGATGTATAGGCATGACCTTTGCGCATTCGCAAAAGGACAACTTCCTGTCGGCGGTCTGCTCTGCTTGTTGTCAATGAATTTTTGACAGTTTATTTTGCAAGTTACGATAAGACCGTTTAACATCTTTTGGTTGTAGGTAAAGAGCTGTCTTAGCAGCCCTATCTACTTCATCATTTCCACATACTGATACATGACCAGGTATTCAAATGATGATCAGGTGGCAAAACACTAAACTCCTGTTAATACGAGGAGGAAAGTTATGAGAAAGAATGTTGTTTCAGTGTTTGTTTAATAACGGTAGCAGTGATTACGACTCAGAGCAGATGATTGCTTTTTGATTTTATCCCTTTTCAAGAGAGAGAGAGAGAGAGAGAGAGAGAGAGAGAGAGAGAGATGTTAATTATCAATAAAATTGTGCTATTGACAAAAGAAGACGATACATTTTACACAAACGTTTTCACTGTATTAGATCTTCAGGTGATTATTAACAGTAGGGTATTGTTTGACGTCATAGAGAGGCTAAGGAAATGGAAACTATAAATATCCTGAAGCCTAATTTGAATATAGAACTTCATGTGCTTACTGACAGTAGGAGATTGTGTGACGTCAAAGGGAGTCTAAGGAATTGGAAACTATAATTAGCCTGAAGCCTAATCTAAAGACTAAATATGTAGTACATTATTCCTGTACTAATGATTAGGTCCCTTTAAGTATTATGACGTCATCAATAGCTGGGTAATCTGTGACGTCACATAATACCCTACTGTTACTGAAGATCTATTACAGTGAAAAACGTTTGTGCAAAATGTAACATATATTCTTTTCATAAATAAATCTACACAAATGTATTCCTAAATACACAGACTAAATATCCTAATCTACAAAATAAAATTAAGCATATAAGTTGCATGTCAGATTCAAATAAGTATGATTTACATTGTAAATACTCTATGTACATATTATACTTTTTTATTATGGTTTTCTACTTAAACTGGTTATATTTTTATATTATATTTGTAAGATTTAACTGACTGATGTACTCTATAAAGACAAAACGTTTTTCTAAATAAATTATTGTTTTAGTGATTGTTCATTGTCACGATTTCTCACAGAAATATTTCAAATGTGTAGTAGATAGTTTATGATGATCAAAATGACCTATTGAAGCTGTATACGAATTCTCAGTATAAAAATTTAATTGAAAATCTGCAAATATGAAATACATCACTATTTTTTGGAATATCAACGAAATCTCTTGTGTACAGCATAGAACGTAAAAAGGTGACATAAATCTACGTGTGACAGATCGACATACTTCAATGAGGGACAGACCGGTAATACTCTATGTGGGACAGACTGACATTACTCTATGTGGGACAGACCGGTAATACTTAATATGGGACAGACCGGTAATTCTCTATGTGAGACAGACCGACATACCTCTATGTGGGACAGACCGACATACCTCAATGTTGGACAGACCGGTGATACTCTATGTGGGACAGACCGACATACCTCAATGTGGGACAGACCGGTAATAATCTATGTGGGACAGACCAGCATACCTCTATGTGAGACAGACCGGTAATACTCTATGTGAGACAGACCGACATACCTCAATGTTGGACAGACCGGTGATACTCTATGTGGGACAGACCGACATACCTCAATGTGGGACAGACCGGTAATACTCTATGTGGGACAGACCGGTAATACTCTATGTGGGACAGACCGGTAATACTCAATGTGAGACAGACCGATATACCTCTATGTGAGACAGACCGGTAATACTCTATGTGAGACAGACCGACATACCTCAATGTGGGACAGACCGGTAATACTCTATGTGGGACAGACCGACATAACTCAATGTGGGACAGACCGGTAATACTCTATGTGGGACAGCCCGACATACCTCAATGTGGGACAGACCGGTAATACTCTATGTGGGACATACCGGTAATACTCTATGTGGGACATACCGGTAATACTCAATGTGAGACAGACCGATATACCTCAATGTGGGACAGACCGGTATGACTATGTGGGACAGACCGGTAATACTCTATGTGGGACAGACCGGTTATACTCTATGTGGGACAGACCGACATACCTCAATGTGGGACAGACCGGTAATACTCTATGTGGGACAGACCGGTAATACTCAGTGTGAGACGGACCGACATACCTCAATGTGGGACAGACCGGTAATACTCTATGTGGGACAGACCGGTAATAGTCTATGTGGGACAGACCGGTAATACTCTATGTTGGACAGACCGGTAATACTCTGTGTGGGACAGACCGGTAATACTCTATGTGAGAGAGACCGACACACTTCAATGAGGGACAAATCGGTATTACTTTATGTGGGACAGACCGGTATTACTTTATGTGAGACAGACCGACATACCTCAATGTGGGACAGACCGGTAATACTCTATGTGGGACAGAACGGTAATACTCTATGTGGGACAGACCGGTAATACTCTATGTGGGACAAACCGTATAGGGCGGGGAGAAATCAGAAATCAGCAATTTTATCAAATACACCGTTTAACATTATTTAAGGTTCCATGGTGTACACTTTGTATATAAAACATTGGGAACCTACTCTTTGTTATTTTGTAGCTTGTTTACATATTTGTGCAGTCTAGTTGTACATGTAGAATGTTACGTCCCTCGAGTGCATTATGAACGTGTGGTGTACACGTTTTCGTCAAAGATCATGAACCACAGGTAGACTCATACACGAGTAACAGGATATGTTACCTGTTGTGTGGAGGCCGACCAGACGGGCTATATAATGCTTTTGGTCCTTCGTCCTACATTATAAATAACGTGAATTATTTCTGTGTTTATCAGGTTGCTGTTTGGAACATGACATGCAATATGTGTACGGTAAAAGGTAGAGGATTCTCCACCACGTATACAACAACACGACTATGGGGTATGCATGCATCTACATGAATAGAAGCCTGTCAATTATTGTAATCATTATGAATAGGTTTTTTTCTTTGTATAACTATAAATACATGTGTATTTAATTTGTATTTATTGTGTTTTATTGGAAGAAAACCCGACCGCACCCTATTCGCCAGATATGCACATAAATAAAAAAACTCACGAAATGTCCGTACCATTATGTCTGTCACAAATTCGGTAATTCCAAATTTGCCTGTCTAACGCTGGCTTTGTCTCTGCTGTTCTGGATGTCGTCGACGAAGTTGTCTCCCCTCCCCAACCCATCCACGGAAATCCCGGATCCGCCTCTGCTTGCCAACAAATCTCCTATCGGCGCCTATACACAAGAGGTAGAGGAATGATTATACAAACAAATTCAACACTTTTAAAATGCGCTAGATGGCACCAGAGGCTGTACATTTCATCTTACCCGAGGGTTCCAAAGGCTTTCCGCCCTCGTCACAAGTAGAATATGTCACAGGACTGGACTTTCCAAAACCCACCGTCAATCGTGGTTCGAATGTATATATAACGTTGGAATAGCATCAGAACACTCGATGCAAAATACGTCAACACGTGTTTCCCTTCTTTTACAATGTATTACCATGGCCAAATCTAATACTTGGTGAAGCGGTTTCCTTATATTTTAAACCACACATTAAATATAATGTGTCTGTATTTTGTATGAGAAACAGTAAGGAGTAATATGTCTTTCTTAATCTTTTGATACTAAACATGCCGTAAATTCACATTAATCTAGTAAAAATAATTCTCGAAATAATTTAACCAGGTATAATTACATATCATCATCATCATCATCCAAAAAACAAGTAACAGGGGAAACAACTCTGAATCACTCCATTTACATAACGTAAGATCTCTCGTAATTCCATGGTTCAAAATGCTGTATAACAATCATTTTCAAAACAACGGCACCCTGTGTGAGAAATCTACACGAAACTGTACGCGATATAGCTAGGTGCGTGAACCAAGGATAACGTGAGGGTTACTCATACCGGTCATCCATTTTACTACTGTTCACAAGCATATACATGCTTCAGTGGAAACTTGTAATTGTCAGTGTGTCTCAAATACTATAAAACGATTTATTGACTTCTTATTTTGATTAGTGATTTCTCCTCCTGACCCAATACGGAAACGTTTGCCGATACGAATTCGTGCTAGATGCGATGCTTTAAACAATTACACTGCACAAGTATAAACAACCAACAAATCAATAAAAAAATAAAGATATTAGTGTAATCACGGACTTAGAGCATCCAATTCCGTGGTATAGTTTAACCACCATTGGCATCCTAAGAAGTTGATATTTATCCACACCCCATACGGCTACGGATACGTGCTAAATGCGTAAACCCTATTACGAATGCACAGTTACAACTACACGTGACAGATACCGTCAAAATGTCTAATGCATGTCCGTTTATCCTAATGTTATAAAGATAAATATGGTTTGTCTACTTGTTCAAAGGACGTGTTTTATTTATCTGAATTTCTACCTGAGCGCTCGTGACATTGACATGACAAAGCGACAAAGTCTATAAAATAATTTGACAAGGGAAATTGCTCTGTGCCAGAAAAAAAAATCATTTTTGTTGCTTCATCTCCTGCATAGAACCGATAGTATTCAAAGTAAAAGAAAAACAATAAACACTCTTAATGAAACTCTTTATCGCGATTATACGTGAGTCAGTTTTATCCTTATCCATACATTATCGTAGCGTATTTACAAATTTAAAATTAAAACATTGGAATAAATCAGATACATCAATAAAGTTAGGTGCATAACATTTCTGACCAATCAGGAAAGTTTAAACAGAACATGCACACAAAAAGCATGTTCGCCACTAACACAAAATATAGCAAAAACGAACAATAACTGTGTATTGTCATTTCAACATATTTTATTGTTTAGAAAACAAATGAATTAGACAATAGGCAAGCCTATATAAGTCCTCTCCAATAGGTACCACATATATACAAGTCAAAGTGAATAAAGTAAATAATAGATATCATAGACAGTAAAGTATATATATAAAGAGAAATAGATTTTAACATGAAAGCATTGATGGTAGTATTACACAATATTCAGTGAGTAGAATGATTACTATGGGTAATGTATAATAATTAAATATGTAAACATCTACTCAAGCTTATACATATTTGCATACCCACATGCCTACATGTCACGCACACCCTCACACACCCTCATACATACAACACATCTATATAAGATGTGTACTCAGCTATTACAAAGTTACTACATATATATGTCATAGTGACATATATAATATCCAGACTGTACAATTCTTTCAATTATTATATTAGAATCTCTTAAATCGTTCAGTACCATTTATATAGTATTGGACATTAGTTAAAATGTTCATTAATATCCTCCGTCAGGGTATTATCACCTGAAGTTAACAGAGTTGAATTGGAATAACCAATAAGGTCATGAATTTCATGAATTAAATTCCTAGAATTAGAGTAATTAGGACAAGTAAAAAAATAATGATCAGTATTTTCAGCAGGTGAACAACAGGCACAAACTGTATCAGGGATAAGATGATCTATACATTTATGATGATTCAAGTCACTTGCATCATTTCGTAATTGGCACAAAATAATATTTAATTTTCGTGGACTACATTTTTTAAAAGTATCAGAAATAGCTTCAATAGGATTAGCTATAGTATTTTTAAGATTTCTTTTGAAGGAACTTAGGCTAACTGGCCTGGTCAGCGAAGGATCAAGACTATTCCATGCCTGCATGGTACTAGGAAAGTAGCTTGTCTTATAAATATAAGTTCTTGACCTTGGGATATTGAAAAATCTGTGGTGACCCAGGTAATGAATATTTTGTTGCTGATGATTAATGAATGGTTCAATGATATTAAACAAATAATCAGGGGTTAAATGATTTATAATTTTATACATTAAAATTAATTTGTGCTTATGATGCCTAGATTCTAACTTTTCCATGCCAGTTTCTTGATATAGTTTATAATGTGAAATACCACTTCTTAAACCAGTTATAACTTCATTGCATCAATCTGTACAGATTCTAATAAATTTGATTCACCAATAGTGCAATTGTCCCAAATGGAATCTGAATATTCCAAAACTGATCTAACAAATGAATAGTATAATGTTTCAAGAGTTTTCCTATCAACTTTATGTTTCAACATACGTAACAAATTCAGCCATTTAATGCTTTATTGTATATATCATTAATATGATCCCCCCCTATGTGCCTTTTGAATTAAATGTGAGTCCCAAGTGTTTATGGAATAAATTTTCTTGAATTACTTGATTATCAAATATCAACGGAGGGTGAACCATATTTTTCTTACTTACAGCTAGTGCAACTGTTTTATTAGGATGACAATTAATTTTCCATATTTTAGCCCAAGTATTAATAGATTCAAGGTCGTCATTTAACTCAGCAGTTGGTGTATATTACACATGTATATTGCTATGGATAAGTAGCACTGTATATCGGTGACACGATTATATGGTTCATCAACGATTAACAACATATAACCAGTGTCGCCCCGTACTGCCTTAAATTTTACCAATCAAACCGTATATACACGATAGATGTCGTAACCCTGACCCCTTCACCAAAACTAAACAAAAGCATTGCCAGAATAAAAAGACAGGCATCAATACTTGCATACGATATGGGTTTGTCTTTTCGTATAGATTGAAGATTACACTTGAAAGAAGATAACATAAAAGATCGTATCATATATACAAGAGTCGAACAATAGCGTCATTATTATAACTTTAATTATGTCTAAACAATTACCTTGTAAAACAAAGGTTACAACAGCATTCGACGGGTATGGGTATTTTGGCAGTGTAGTATCACCTACTTCTGAACAATTGAAAAATTAATTCGGAACTCAATATTGAACATTTAATCATATTATGCCGGAAGGTGAACTTCATAAATATTGAGAAGCGCCGCCGCCATATTGACAAGCCGGGGATAGGTGTAGTGCGTTCGACTAGCACTTGACGAGATGGCGGCCCAGACACCAGTACCTGGTTGGCCTCGACATCCAGGGGTGGGGTTTGTTTATATCTGTAAATCGTGTGAAGACCAGTTACTTTGTATGGAGTGTGTTACAGACAGTCACAACGGACACATGCTGGGTAATCTTACTGATTACGTTGCGGGTCAGACACTGGACATACAGCAGTTTGCCGACAAGCTCTCTAAAACCGATATTCCCAAAACTGAGGGAGATATAACAGAAAGTGAAAAGCAGACCAAGACACACGGTGGACGATATCAGAAGATGATTGAGGATATCAAACGTCAGGGAAAACAGATGAAAGACGACATCGACAGTGGTATAGACTTGCTAGTTAGGATGTGTCCCGAGCTAGAGGAACGCAATGCGCGTATTTCCGAGAAGAACAAATCTACTTTAACTAAATACCTTAGGGAAGACTTGAAGCCAAAACTGGACAGATGCCAAGAAGTACTGACATCCGGTACAACTGTTGACGTCACTACATTAGCGCGGGAAATTAGAAACGGTGTCTCCACTGCCCCACCATCTCTCAGTGATTTGCAGAACATGGAATACCAACCCGGGACAATCTCCATCGAACTCATAGAACGCATGCTTGGCAAGCTACTAGTCGATGGAGCAGATGAGTCGTACAAACCGATTTCGAAAAGTGTGGTTTTGAACAAGTTCCAGACGTCGTTTCCTTATAATATCTGCCAAACATGTCTTACTGGTGACGAGGGGTGGTTATCGTACTGGGACAGTGATACCATATATCGAGTGGATATGAAAAGCAATGTCAATGAGAGGAAAGAGTGTCGGGTCAACGTCCGATCGATCTCCGTATCTCCAACGTCTGGGAGTGTGTGGCTCTGTGTTGAGGATGACAGAAGTATCCGGGAAATCATGACGGGTGGTGAAATTGTTACATGCTTTAACGTAGACAGCTCACAATGTTCTTTGTGTATCACTAGTGACCAAAAGGTAGTGGTGGGGATGTTGGGAGAAATACAACTGTACACTACAGACGGACGGGCGGTATCGGCAGGAGCGGGAAGTCCCTGTAGACAGGTGGCAGTATTTCCTCATCACATGAGGTCATGTACACTGACCGGGGATGTAGCTGCTGTTGATGGTGATGGTGTATCGTTTGATGACTACACGGCTGGTAAGGCAACAGTCAAGCAACCGCGCGTGATTGTGATGGATAAACACCTAAACCTGAAGTTTTACTGTAACGACATTGGTACGAGGAAAACACGCGAAAGTGACACTCCGTCTACAAAGTTTTACCCGTACGATGTTTGTTTTGATGGAGCTGGTGAGGTCCTTGTAACGGAGTATGTCACCAAGTCAGTACTACTGATTGACAGGAATACTGGACACTACATGAGGACTGTTTATACATCTGATGGAGTTATACCTTGGTGTATCTGTCTACGTGATGGTGGCAACCTCTGGGTCGGACACGAAGATAGAACAACAAAGGTTATCCAATATAAATAGACGTGTGAGGATAAACATATCACCACATACAGATAAACTCACTTCATTTCCTTACATTACCATAGTGATAATAAATCCGCGCATAGTAGGATGATCCTCAGCCACCGCCATCGTAGTAAAACTTAAAGTGATGACCGACAGTCGTATATAGAGATCTAGACTTCATGGTCAGGATTAGGAACACACACTATGAGTGCTTTGTGGAATATGTGACAAATTAAAACAAAAAAGTGATTTATTTTGTTTGTGACAAATTTAACTTCTTTCGGTTGAGTCCGCGAATAAGAACGAAATTGTTTTCTCCTATGGGAATGTGTGCCACTAGGTGGCGCTAGTCGCAGTCGGCGATGCACGTGCAGGTGAAGTCCTGGGTCATTCAGGCGACCACGTTAGACACGTCAACACCTACAGTCGTTATATCGAGTTTTAGTAAATTATACTTATGTAAACCTTCAGACATTAGCTTGACAGACATTTGGAATGCTGTTCAGGCCCAGCATAATAGTATTTGTGCCATTAATACTAGCTTGTGCCAGGAGTTTGGTCAGCTCAAGGACGAGGTGAAGGGTTCGGCGGCCAATGTAGCCACCCAGGTTAAAAAAACTGAAGGCGGAGAATTCTTACAAGTGGAAGTTCGAGGGTAACAAGGTTCAGCAGGGTTTTAATTCTGACTTATCGGAGGAAATTGGGCAGGTTAGTTGGGCCCTTAACAATTCCACCCGGGAGTTGGTGGCCAGTGTTCAGGACAAAATTACCAGGAAAAATAAGTATATCAAGAAAGCGGATTCGAGTGACAGAGGTTGGGAGACCGTTCAGCAATATGAGAGTAATCCTATCGCCAGCGTTTCGAATGACGAGGGAAAGATCAACAGAAAAAAGGGAAACAGCAGGCGAGGACACCCGCAGGCTTCAGCAAGTCTAGCAGTGTTGTGAGCCACGTGCGTGGTGCCTATCCTAGTAGTGTGTAGCAGCCCTTTCGGGGACCCAAGGCGTCGAGCCTTGGTTCAGCGGTGTATCCGAGTAGCAGCCGGGACCGGTTAGCTCCGGTTCACACATGTACCCACAGCGGCGGGGGAGGTCCGGCGGCGTATGCTACAATTGTGGTTCTTTGCAGCACTGGAGGAACGAGTGCCCCACTCAGGGAAAAGGGAAATTTCAGACTTTGTGTTATGAGCAAAGGCAAGGTAACATTTGAGTTAGGGGTCGTTTACGGGACCGAACAACTTTTTGGGAGAATATGGGTTGTAGCCGGTTTATATTTGATACGATTAGGGATGGTTAACAGATACCGTTCTATTCCACCCCTGCCTCGACAGTGCTTAGTAATAACCAGCCAGCCATGAAACACACTATTTTGTGGGTGAAGCTATTTTGGATCTTTTATCGAGGGAGCTTGTTGTAACATGCAGTAATAGGCCATATGTTGTCACTCACAGTTTCTGTTCAGAGTAGCGGGAAAAAAGTTTGATTCTGGATTTACGTTTGATTCTGGATTTACGACACGTAAACATTCATTTGTGGAAGTCCAGTGTGAAGTTTGAGGATATCAGAGTGGCCATCCAAGAAGGGCGGGTTTTGTTTTAAGTTTGATATCCACTCCGCGTACCACCATATCGATATTTTCGATCCTCATACAGTTTTTTGGGTTTTCTTGGCAGTTTGGTGACAGTGTAAAGTGTTTTAAGTCTGGAGTGCTTCCATTTGGGCTAAGCACCGCTTGTTACAGACTGACATTACTCTATGTGGGAGAGACTGACATTACTCTATGCGGGACAGACTGACATTACTCTATGTGGGAGAGACTGACATTACTCTTTGTGAGACAGACTGGCATTACGCTATTTGGGAGAGACTGACATTACTCTATGTTAGACAGACTGGCGTTACTTAATGTGGGAGAGACTGACATTATTCTATGTTGGACAGACTGACTTTACTCTATGTGGAAGTGACTGACATTACTCTATGCGGGAGAGAATGACATTACTCTATGTGACAGTTTGGTGACAGTGTAAAGTGTTTTAAGTCTAGAGTGCTTCCATTTGGGCTAAGCACCGCTTGTTACAGACTGACATTACTCTATGTGGGAGAGACTGACATTACTCTATGCGGGACAGACTGACATTACTCTATATGGGAGAGACTGACATTACTCTTTGTGAGACAGACTGGCATTACTTTTTGTGGAAGAGACTGACATTACGCTATTTGGGAGAGACTGACATTACTCTATGTTAGACAGACTGGCGTTACTTAATGTGGGAGAGACTGACATTATTCTATGTTGGACAGACTGACTTTACTCTATGTGGAAGTGACTGACATTACTCTATGTGAGACACACTGACATTATTCTATGTGAGACACACTGACATTACTCTATGTGAGACACACTGACATTACTCTATGTGAGACAGACTGACATTACTCTATGTGAGACAAACTGACATTACTCTATGTGAGAGAGACTAACATTACTCTATGTGAGACAGACTGACATTACACGATGTGGAAGAGACTGACATTACTCTATGTGAGACAGACTGACATTACTCTATGTAGGACAGATCGACATTACTCTATGTGAGACAGACTGACATAAAACTATGTGAGACATCTGACAGAACTCTATGCAAGACACACTGACATTACTCCTTGTTAGAGAGACTAACATTACTCTATGTGGGAGAGACTGACATTACTCTATGTAGGACATATCGACATTACTCTATGTGAGACAGACCAACATTACTCTCTGTGGGAGAGACTGACATTACTCTCTGTGAGACAAACTGACATTACTTTATGTGGGAGAGACTGACATTACTCTATGTGAGACTCACAGTCATTACTCTATGTGAGACAAACTGACATTACTCTATGTGGGAGAGACTGACATTACTATATGTGGAAGAGACATACATTATTCTATGTGAGACACACTGACATTACACTATGAGAGACAAACTGACATTACTCAATGTGAGAGAGACTGACATTACTCTATGTGAGACAGACTGGCATTACTCGATGTGGAAGAGACTGACATTAACCTATGTGAGACAGACTAACATTACCCTATGTAGGACAGATCGACATTACTCTATGTGGGAGAGACTGACATTACTCTATGTGAGACTCACTAAAATTACTACCAACATTCGTGGATTTTTTCTCCGCTGAGCCACCTATTTTGAAAATCTATATAAGAGTGTTCTATTGTCAGTTCAATGATGAAGGCTATGGACAAGCCTGACGGTCGTCATCAGGATCACGCAGGGAAATATACTATTTCTTTGTGTGATATGAAGGTCGATGTTTTTTAATTGTGTTGTCACTACCTGAGTAACCGGTGCGAGCAAGTGACTTTACTTGGATTCATATAACATGGCGGGTGTCATTAATGACACAGAGAAGACGCTTCCGGAACACATGGTCTTGTTCTCCTGGTACTTTTTCAATATGATATAAATCTGTCCATTGTTTATATTTTGTCCTATTTTATCGATTTCGAGTTTGACATGTGGTTCTGTTGACACTTAGGTATTTTATTGCTGTACGATTTTAGTTGCATTTTCGGCACTTTATTACTTAAGTTGGCTTCTGGCTTTTTCCTCGAAGACTGCATGCCGTATACTACCGAATCGATGAGTATAACTATGTAGATGCAGATAGCATGCGGAGCGCACTTCACTGCTTCGGCCTCTGACATACCGAGACATTAAAGGTTAAAAATTGGCGTACGCCAAGGCCCGGTTTATCTACTTCATTTATTTAAATTTTTGTTTTTCTATACCTAAAAGACTTCTTGTCCCATATAATTGATACATGATATATGAATTGGTGGGCATGTTTAGTTCTGCGCAGACTGCCAAGACCTTTGATTTGTCAAAATTTAGATTTTGTTTATTGTCGTCCACGGGTGCCCTCTTTTATGCTTTGAGTTGGCAACAACGTATAAGCTTGAGTTGGCAATCCTGAAATGGATTTTTGTTTCGTGACCGATTACTCCTTGAATTGCAAAATGGTTTGAAGAAGTGAAAAGAGCAAAAAATATTGTAATTTATTTAGATGATTAAAAAATATAGAAAAACAGAAGTTCAGATTTCAACATTTTTTCTTGGAAGTTAGGAGACCTATCCTCAAAAAGAAATGTTACGTGCATGCACAAATATCTAAAGGAAACACTAAAATAATGTTTTTAAAAAAGCCACAGTCCACACAAACAAATAAAAGGAACCAGGGAGACAACAAAACAAATGGAAAGAACAAAACACAAGGAACCGAGGATACGGGTTGTCGGGTAAAGCAGTGGATAACGAGCTCACCTTTCATCAAAGTGGCCGAGGTCGGATTCCCTGATCGGACGTGAAAGGGGTATTGAGACACCTGCAGGACCAGGTGAGTTTTACTCCGAGTACTCCGGTTTCCTCCCACCAGCCCTAACATCTGGGCCAACAAGAGTGATCAATATCTGTTGTCCGGAAGTCACTTGTTTTCAAAGTTAGAAAATGTGACATATTTTGAATTTAAGCTCTCCCACAATCCCAATTGGTTTTCTCAATACCACAGCCACTATAAGTTTCCTCATTCCAACTCTCAATAACTTCGTGTCTTTATACAATTTTCTTTTTTTAATTAATTCGACTGTGGACGCTAACATGTCCATTTTGAATATTTTTGGACGAATTCAAATGAATATAAGGTTTTTAATTTCGTTAATATGTAAGGGAAACAAAGTTTCAAGTAATTTATTGAACTTCAAATGTTTTTTAACACATGACCCTTGAAAGAAGTGTAAAACATGTTTAAAGCCCCCACAAACGAAATTCGATGTAACCATATCTTGGGTTTTATATTTTCATGATAGTTTAATGATTGTGTAAACAGATAGGTTTTTCATGTAAATGGTATTTATTGGATTCAATTTTCTAAGATTTCTTGTGTGTTAAATGTAAATTTGTCCTAGGAATGTGCCCAACATAATAAAAAGAAGACGT